AACACCCTGGTTAATGCTTCAAATAGACTTTATGATAGATCAAAATACATCTGGCAGAATCGTAGTAACCTCATGTACTTGATACTTTTGCACTCGCCTTTGACGACTGCAGAGCCATCCCTGCAAAAGGTATACGTTCTATGCCTTTAATTTTTTTCATAATTTACGTACAAGGTACACGATTTGCAAACGCTATATGTGCGTGGGTTATTGCCTTCGCGGCACAGTTTGGGTGGGTGTTCGTTTGTGTATGCATGTTTTAAGAACCATTACAAATATTTTCAATGTTTTTTGAACAATTCGATCGCAGCATTACACATATACAAGACATTGTTAGTTTTTAGCAATCAAAACATTATACACCAGTAATGAACATTACGACACATAACGTCTGTCTACAACACAAGCATCGTACAAGTCCTTTTTTTTTCAACACGAACTAGCGCATAGATTCAAAAAACATTGTTTAAGGTATCAGGGGACCTTCGTTTGGACCTTTTTTATCGATTTTATGATTTTGATATCACACGAAAGCTTGGAACAAGAGCTACATTTCTATGAAATGTAGGATTCAGGATCGTTCTCAGGATCTTCATCAAAGTAATATGTCTAGTTAAACTCGTTAAAAAGATGGAGAAAAATGGAGAAAATCGAGCTCCAAGTTTTAAAACCGTCCTTTAAAATCTCTTGAAAAAAACSTCGAATTCTTTAAAACAAGCTGTATTTGATAATTTCATTTTTCCCATTACTTTTGCTGAAGTTACATTTAAATATTCTATCCGTAGTTATATAAAATGCCCAATTTGAATGCATGCAAAAACAAGTTGTTCGATGTTGTCAAGCATGTAATCCAATGACCGTGCATTCTCAATTAACGCGTAAACAAATATGTCGTCGAAAATGAATATTTTAATACCTAAAACCTGCCAAGGTCGAGGTTGGTAAAAGGCGTGGTGTTCGCCTTACGCAGTCCGCAAGGTGTATAACGGACTCTACCAACTATCTATAACAAGAGGCATACACTGGAAAAAATCGCGCTCTTTAAAGGTTGTAAATTTGTTGTAAATATAATCCGATTATTTTATTTATGCCTATTTTGGATAATTTGCCTGCCGTACGTAAATGTCCAAAGAACAATAGGYATTCTGTGCGATGTAAGTGTCCACAATTCTGTAAAGTTAATGGAAATCATTTMCATCAAATTTACAGAATTTTGGACACTTTCATCATATTTACATCAAATTTACAACCTTAAAAGCGCGCGATTTTTTCCAGTGATATATTCTTATTTGTCGTAAAAACTAGGCATACGGTTTAAAGTGTTTAAAGTGTAAATTTGTAAGTTTAAGCTAAAAGCTTGACGTAAAATACTAAAATCAATTATGTAAAAGTTGTATTGCATAATCCTTTTATACAAAACTTCTTTTGAAATTTTCTTTACGTGTAACGTCTCTTGAGAATAGAGATACAGAAGCAGTACTTAGTTGTTTTTGACTGGCATTATGAAATTAGAATACTTGGTTTTAGCAACCAAGATGAAGGCCGCGCTTATTTTGTTATCAGCCTTATTTACTGCTCCTGGTTTAGGTAAGTTATCATTGTTGAACTGTCATCCATTGAAATACTTCAGGCTTACTTCAGAAGCCACTGCGTTCACGTTACCTATACTAAATAAAAACTACGAGCATATTGTCATGACTTAGGTTCAAAGTTTGGGTATACAATTTTATTGTTACTGTTAGCTCTAGCTGAAATAATCAAGCTATTACATTAGAAGCATCGACTTAATTCTATCCAAACGTTTAACGCTCACTTTTATTTATCTGTTCAGAGATTATATTTTCTGTGTTATGATTATATATTGTTATATACCGTGTTATATAATTGCATTCTTGTTGATATCAATTCTCAATAATATACACCGTGAATAACAGTTAAACGTCTCTAGCAGTTATAACTTGTTCAAATCTAGTGCGTGATTACTTTTCCAATGGAAGACTGAAGTTTGTTATAGTCGACTGATATGACGAACAAAAACTTGTCGGTAATTCTACCGGTACCTCYACTAACTATTGGCCATTCCTCAGTTTGTTCTGGGTAGTGAACCTCTCTTAAAAGTCTTTTCTCTTTTCGAAGAGAAAAAAGAACATTCGTAGAAAGTAAATCAGGTTTCCTGGCATGTCAACATGATTTTGCATTAATTTATGCAATCTAACGAATTTTAATACCAAGCGGGGGTTAGCATTAAGGAAGCTAATTAGGACAGTCAAATATAAAGGACTGCTTACTTTAAAGTGTTACGTTTTGCTATTTTGGTTAAAATTGAAAGACCTGATATCGTAATTACGAATCGAAAAAATCGGAGTAATCGCATTCGAATCGGATATCTGGGATCTCAAAGCAAAAGGGGGCATTGCCTTGGGCTCTGCAACTTTATTTCTGCCAAATAGAACCAGTTAGCAGTTTTACAGCAGCTTTGCGAGCTTTAAACAAGCATGAGTTTTGAAAGTTTTGGGGCAGCTGTTATACAAATGGATACAAAAGGCTCTCAAATGGGGCAACGTATCACGAGCCACGGCTAAAAATTTGATTACTCACGACTAACGGTTATTTTTTTCGAATTAAGTTAACTAAAGCATTTTCGAAGATTTTTCGCAATTAAATAACTAAAAATTTGAATTTCTTGTTTCTTTTGTCTGTTTACCTATAATATGCATGATCACAAAAATATAACTGGTTTGAAAAAAAAACTAAAATAAACAAGGACTTAAGAGACTGAATATTTTCAACTGTACTTCAGGGAAAAAGCGCGCTTCACGCTATAACAAATATTCACGGATCTCAAACTATAAAAAGTATTCACGGGTCACTACAACTATATTTTGGGATTGTTTGGGGGGGGGGCACTCCCCTATATTTCTTATCGGGTATGGTTTTCTGCTCTTCGCGTCTTAAATAGGGTATACAATTGACCTTCAGTTGATTTGAATAGGGGTGTACTTTCAATATTCGTGTTTTCAATGTATTAGACAGGGTTTCAATATTTATGTAAAAGAGATATAGTCAAAATGAAACAGATAGCGACATCAATTGATATCTTTTACGGGAACACTAACYGGTTTATGTATTGGATATGGTCTACATTTTACCAATATGTCTTGAACGGGCTATGRAAATTCACGATTTTGTTTTCTTGAAGGGGCTAGAGGTTTTAKAGGTAGGAGCAAAACGTCCCTGTCCGATTCTGAGCCATTACCCAGCTCGGCCACCTCGCATGGTTATTTTTTGAGCCGTTTCAACTCTCATGGCTAACCCCATTGAGACACTCCTGCAAATAACTTTATRCCTAAGTTTTGACGTTTCCATGACAGCGCTTGAATTAGTAAGTTTGAAAGTTCTTTGCAATTTCTGCTGACGAAGAAATAATCCTTAATGAACTGACTCTTGCAATGGGAATAACTGACCGTACTATCTGTGTATAACAGTTCTTATTAGATTTGATGCCTCCTCATAATTTATCACATGAGCTGCAAAAGGGTGATGAGCTTAATTTTCCAATCTCCACTTTTTTCCCCTCAATTTATCAGGTATTTTCTGTTTCAGTATCAGCCAAATGGTGCAACATGAATCCTTTGTCGGTATCTTCAATTGTCAAGAACATTTCTGTGTCAACAAAATCGTCTTTGACAACGGACACCGGGARATGGTGCGCGTTAGCTGGTGATCCAAATCCCTGGTATCAGTTGATATTTGATCAGGAATACGTCATTTGTTATATCAAATTCCAACTTGAATTGACAAAACGTATCACCTCATTTAAGTTCAATATATCGACTGATGGAGTTAACTGGAACACTTACAACGAAGATGGACAGGCAAAGGTAAGTTTTTAAAAGTACCACATGAAAATGTGGACAAATTTTAAYTGCAAAATTCCCAGTGCCCTCTTGAGGAGGATTTGCTTTTTTAACTCTCCTCTCAACATTTCATTTCAGATTTTTGAGATGGGATATTATAGTACGATTGGACGTTACATAAAAGGGAACTTGGTGACTAAATATYTACGAATTCTACCTATCTCATGGAAAACGCAAGCCTGCTTTACTCCGTTGTTTTACGGAGTTTCTCTTAGTYCAGGTACGTCCAGCTCGATTGTCACAGATTAAACTCAGAACTACACACGCACACTTGTGCTTTCATCCGTCATCTTTTATTTCCTGACCGCTGACCTGCATAAGTGCAGATACCCTGAATTCTACAAATGTCAAAAAACTACTAACTTGAATGTGAAAAACCTTTTTTGATGTCACWCTAGGCACTAGCATATTCAATGTATAATCTTATGATAACTCAAAGATGTAACGTTGAAATGAAGATATATTTCGCAATTTATTTAATTATTTATTTCGTAAACAACTCTACAATTATTGTATTSGGAGTCATTTGCACCTGAAGAACTTCGTTGTTCAGTACCATCAAAGCAAACTATGAAGTATAAATGCCGATAATATAAAAGCTCCAACTGACAAAACTAGCATCCTTTTGATCTTGTTTCGCAATGATATGAAGAATATATGCGTATATTTTTTTCAGAAAATGTGGCCAAAGGAAAAGTTATCGCGGAATATCCCAACCTTAATACTGCTAACCTTGGGTATGCTGTGGACGGTGATGAGAATACTTGTGTACAGACCAAGAACTCGTCCTCTCAAAACTTATCATTAACCATTGATCTTGGAGCACCACTACAGGACGTTGGAGAAGTATGGATTGCTAATGGGCCGGGTAATTCTCCGCTTGCCAGAGGATTCTCTATTTACATCGGTAAGCAGATTTGTTAAATGTTAGCAAGATGTGCTGGAAAAGAGGTTAATTTAGACGTATAAAATTGTCAGCAGTCTTCTGACGTYGGGAAGTGTCTGGGGAATYTAAATGTGCAAAATTATATRAAATCTTGTCTTCGGGTATAGGGAACGAAGACTTCAAAAATACAAAGAGTTTGAAGTATATTTTTGTTATTATTATTGTTGTGTTATTGTTGTTGTTGTTGTTGTTGGTTTATCGAAAATGATAGAAGCGCGCACTGGTAGTTTGAGAATCAAGCGTGAAGCCAATGCGCCTTCAGATTTTCCACGRATTTAGAGGTAGGGAATGCTCCAGAATCGTTTTCGCCTTCGTTTCCGCGGGACGAGAAAAGTACATCCTCTGGGTACTAGAGTGCCTAACGGTAAGATCACTGCACGAAAGTTTCGTACCCGCTCGAATATACCTCTTTCAARACGTAATAGATTGGCTTATGATGTTTGACGATTGAATTTATGGCTACTATAGCAATGATATATTTTTTAACTTTCAATGTAGATTCCTCCCTGTGTGGTAACTTTAAAGTTGAGGGTGGAGAATCAATTAGCGCCGTTTGCTGGCCCCCTGTAAATGGGCAGAATGTCACCATCTCTATTCCAGAGAAACAAGGCATCAACGTTTGTGAGATTAAAGTCTTCCTTAGAGGTAGGATCCCCCCAACCCGCAGTTCCTTTTCTTTCCACATTTTGTTTCTAATCTCGTTATTATGGTTTACGCGGCACTTAAATTCAGATAGATCTTTTTGAGTATTGAAGTTTATTGTTTAAATCTACGGCAATCGATAAAACAAAGAAATCCTAACTGTCTAAACRTGATCATGCATTATCCAAAAACGAGAATTCTGTGCTTGAAACCAGGTAAGTACAGCACATCCGTGCCTTTKCATTTGCATTTTAAAACAAAATTCTGCAGGAATAGAAAACGTTGATTCACCTGACAGACTGCAACAACTGTTGAGATGCAAAGATTGTATGTTTATGRWAAAAAACGAATTCTTGTGAAAGATCTTTGAATAGCCGATTTTCGTGATACTTGGAGTGTCGCAAATCGCAAAATACTTGTAAAAGATAACAGTACAAATAGCAAAAAGGTTGGTTTTGGTAATAATTAGGTTTAGCTGTTTTCCTTGATAAACTCGCTAACGCTTGCTAGCTTCAGGGAATTTGAATGTATATAATTATTGTTATTAGGAAATTTCCTGCAGAAAACTCTCAAGAAGATTGCAGTATCCAGTACAAATGGCACTAGATATCCAAACTTGACCATTGATAAGATACAGTCGTCCAATGAAGCCCAGTGTTGGGTATCACAAGACCTTGGAACATTGCCTTGGATCCAATATCAGCTGTCCGAATCAAGGGTCATATCGGACATATTAATCAGAGGACCTGATCCAGTCACAAAAATCTTTAAAGATTTTAAGGTTTACAGACGTAAGTTTACTGTATTTAGAAAAAAWTCATATTATGATAAAATCGTATTAATTTATTAGTGTCTTATCTAGAAAAGTCGATAAAATGCATATTAAACGACTGTCGTTTGCATTCGCATGGACATCTTTTTATCCATATTTGGCAAATCTTTCCTTATTTGGAAGTAACTGCCTGACTTATCCTTTGCAACCTTGCCTTAAAATGAAAATGGCTTTAGAATGGCATAACAGCATGGATCACGCGCGAGTCATCGCAGTTGTTTGATATGGTTTGATAAGGGCTTGCTTATGTGACATTATGTATTCTAGATTTCTTCATGACTTGTCATTGATATTTTTCCTTGTCTTCATCTTTGAGTTATATATACACATGCCATAGGTTCTGGTTTTTGTTACAGCAACAAATGGAAACATCACCCACAACGCCCGAATCCGTAACATTGTTAGGTCGTAAAATCAAATTTGATCATGTAATGAAATTATTAAAATATTTTACCCGTCGATATAAAAAACCACTGAATTTTTATGGTACTTTGCATATTGGTGGGTTTTCATAAAAACACTAGTTTGAATATCCTTAATCGCTTAAATYTACCAAGGCAATGAGATCAAAACCAAGTATACTAGTACTGCATTTTACATTTCGCAGCGCCATCTTCAAAGGTAGCCAAGATTTGGAATCAAATCAAGACATCAGTAAAACTTGCAGCAATAGATAACTGTAAATAATTGTCTTAGTTGTGAAAAAAGGTATCTTTCACTAAAGTCTCAACTCCTATCTCGTCTAATGCAAAGGCTTGGCTACCTTTCAAGATGGCGCTTGGAACTGTAAAATAGTGTTCAAAATTAAAAACCCTTCGGTCTTCCTTAGAAATATTTGAAAACWACATAGAAATATGCTTGAGTCATATGACTATAAATCATAGAAGAGATTGAATCAAAGATATCTTCAATGATAGTATGTTGGTGCAAACAATATCGTCATTTACGAAAACTAGAAACATTTTGTGTATATCTTTTAAAGTGTGATCCTATTCACTAGATTACTATCAAGACCCCAATAAATCAAGTTTAACTAATCAAATTGGAAAAAAAGAAAAAACATGGAACGATGATGTAGTCTATTGGCCAAAGGGTCTCTCGTACAACACTGCCTCTTTCAACGATATAATCATCAAGGGAACCTCAAGCAAAGTTCTTTCAGTCTGCGAAGTAGAAATATATGGTCCCGTTGAGCGAGGTGAGTAAAAAAGGAGGCATTTAAGGTTGTTTAGAAATGATCAAAACCTTTTTGTAGTGTTTCAATTGACGACTTTTTATAATAGGAAATTGATGATTCCAAGTTAAAAACCATCTGGTACTGTATATCKACAGCTACTGAGAATCAAGTGCATTACCTTTTTCACTTTTTTTCACAATTRACATGCGGTCTTTGAGTGACTTTTCTTAAGATGGTTTCCAAGCCTGTGCAACAAATCTGTTATGAATTAATGAAAAAATAGACAAACAAGTAAGAAAAACAATAAATTCAACGAACTATGCGAGGTTTTATCCAGAGATGTATTGCAGAAAATTTCCGGAAATGCTTCAGTTAACTGAGATTGGTTAGAATAAATTAACCGTGAGGAGAGAAAGAGGAATGTTGCTGCCATGAGTCGTGATACGAAAAAATCAGGAATCAAATTACCTGTATAATACGTAGGAAAACTCCAAAGCTAAAAGGAATCCAAGCCTCTCGTGTGTTTCGTGTATTCCTCAGACTTGCTTTCTTGTGTAATGATCAATTCATTGTTTCAGGATGCTATTCAACGCCTCTTGGACTTAGATATCACGAATTCACAGTAGGAGATGACAGCTTCTATACGGCATCTTCCGAAGAGTCCAGTGCAACTAGTCCCAAGTATGCCAGACCACTGAGACCAGATGCGGCGTGGGTCCCAAAATCAAGCGATTCAAGCCCATACATACAATTTGATATTGCAATARGTTTTATAATTTGTGGAATATCAACTCAAGGACATCCAACGCAAGACAAATGGACCACAAGTTACAAAGTTGCTGTTTCTTCTAATAATGTCAACTATACTTTCGTTGACAATGGAAAGGTAAAATAGAATGGTTTTCATAAACACGTGTTCTGGTTTCCTTGGTAAAAATATAATCGAAAAATTTGAGTATATAAAGGTGTGATCAACTCTCTTGAAAAACGCTCGGAAACAAAAATTTACTTCTTCATAACACTCTTCCACTATTCTTTTTCAGATTTTTGCTGGAAATACGGACAGAAGCACGATCGTCAAGCACAATTTCAAGGCGAGCTACTTAGCATTTTTCGTTCGTATTTATCCTTTGACAAGCCACACCCAGGCTGCTCTACGATTTGAACTTTATGGCACTGTTTATGGTAGGCATTTGCATACTACTAAATATATGTTTTTGAATAGAAGAAGGATCTGACTTTGTGTATAGACTCAGTGGTTAGTCAATCGTAAGAAGGCAATATAGATATGTTCTCAGCACGGAAACTCGTCTGTATTCCGGGCCCCGCGCAAGTACTGACTGAGKCCAAATTCTCAAGTCAAATAATACCAAATCAGGCTATTGCGTTTCTTAGGCAACCATTGTCGGAATACTATGAGTGATTATTTTTCTTTTTTTATTTATTTATTATTTTTGTGTCGTTTTTAAACGGTGGGTTGAAACATCTTTGAACAAAACTGACTTGAATAAATATGTTAAACCATTTTTAATTTCTACAATTTCATCGCTTAAACATTGCTTAAACACTTTTCTTTTTGATTGTCTAGTCTATGCCCACAAAAGTATTTTCTTCTTTTGGCAATCGTCAAGTAAATTTAAATCAAGTAGCAATGAAGCGAATAGAGAGCCACACAGAGCAACAATATACACCACTAGCTCTTGGTGCGCATCAACCGCGGACAGCAATCAATACTGGGAGTTCTCTTTAAAGAGTCTATACTCAGGTGAGCATAAATAATGCAATTGAGCAATCGTTGACGGGGGAAATATCCTATAACGAAGCTGAACCTACTACGAGTTCTAAAGGGCAGTGTACGACGATGTCATTTGCCACGACAAGTCATGATAGAAAATGCAGCCCCTGCACTGCTTCATGTTACAACAACAGCTGTTAATTTTAACAMACTTAGTCTATTACTTCATGTAAATCAGTTTTACTATTTTAAAGCACGTCAATAATTTTTCGCTTACGATATGATATGACTATATATACATGGCTTATTGCATACATGTCTATCATCGTTCTGGTCCCGACGAGGATTCACTGTTATGTACTATATGTGACTTCAGTTTGTAAGGTTTTTTCTTGAGAAACATTGTTTCATTTATTTAACATTAATACTTTTTACATTTAAGTATATAAGCTGATTACCTCGAGGGTTTTCTTAAGATAACCTGCTTTTCCTCCCTTCGTCACAACTAACTATGAAAAGTGTTGTATACTACTGCAAACAGTCAGAGATTTTTGTGGAAAAGAGAATGCTATGTTGCCAAAGCTACAGTGAACAAAAATAACTAGACACTCTAGGTGCGCGAAGTCGGGCTACCCCGGGGTGGCCTTGTTGTCTTAAACAGGCTCTACAATTTAGATAAAAGACCGAGATGGGTAATAAATAGGGTAGCCTGACTAGAAATTAAAAACTTCTTGAAAAACAAATTTCAACCCGAGATGAGATCGGATTACCTGTGGTGACCACCAGCTCACACCTCTATCAGTTGTCTGGCAAGAGCGATTAAAAAACTTATTGGTATACTTTCTTTATCATACCGATAGGGAATACATAMAGTCAATTGACAGCAAACAAATTCTTTTACTTCAAATTTATCTCCGTCTGTTTCATTCCTTGTTTGATTATTTCTTATGACAATCACCATAATAATTCAATTTTGCAATTAATATTCATAGCTATAATGACGCAAGGAAGTCCTAAAGAAGATAAATGGGTTAAATCCTATATTTTGAGCTACTACAACGGGTTTYCCAATTCTCTTTTTAATCGATGGACAAACTACACTGACGAAGATGGATCAGTTAAGGTAACTCTGAACACAATGGTGTAGTGGTGTCGCTCATTAAAGATGATCTCTATACGTAGATCTTATATCTTTCCGAATTAAGGTTTGCTTTGCTTTCCCCACTTCCCCAATACAGTTTTGGTACTCCTCATTGTAAAAGATGCATGTCATCACCTAACAAGAGGCAAAACACTGAATCGGGGGGAGGGGAGGCTAGGGAAATGGGAAAAAAGAGCACTACTTGAATATGCAATATTGGTTTATTCGCGACGACTGTTTTGTTTCGATTGTATATATTATAAGCTATAGGACTGTAACGTAAAGATTAAATAATTGAAAGTCGTGAATGTTGCTATATCCCATTCATTCCACCGGTTCACCGTTAATAGAGTCATTCGTTAAATTCAGTGAGATTCGTCGAAAAACAAAGCGCAAAGAATAGAAAAGCTTCTGATTCTTTCTCACACGACGCAGCAGTCGACTTAATCGATGATAATTAATCACGGACGTTTGCACATGTATATCGAGGATAAGTCGTAATCCCCGTTATCAGGAATTTTAAAGTGCTACTTGCATGAAAATGCCCTTATTTCAAAACTTCAAGAAATACAAATATATGACTCATTTATATCTATTAAAAACAATTTTGGGAAAATATTTGTTTTGGAATCATCCCACATGAGAGAAATTTTGATTCAAAAGATGGAAGAACAAAAAGATTGAGTAAATGACGTCATTTACTCCAACATTTTTTGCTCAAATTATTAAGGATTTGTATCAATATCTTCTTGAAATCTGTTGCTTCATGATAATTAGACCCATATGGATAGGTCTATTTGATTTCCAAGTCTTTTCTAAGGTTTCGCAATTTTCGCCCAAGTAGCCCTTTAAGCGTGATTCAGGCTCAAGTAATGCCTGTATAACAGCTTAAACGCTTTTCTATATTAACATCAGCGGTGTTTCAGCATTAGGTGTGCATGTAATAAATCAAATATTTTTTTAATTTCAGATATTTGAAGGCAATTCAGATCGGTCTACGGTGCGGATGCATATTTTGAAACAATTCTATGCAGAAAAGATTCGAATCTATCCAGTGACATGGAACAACGGAATTTGCATGCGAATTGACCTCAGAAACAACTATAAAAACAGTACGTATACAATAACATACTGAAAATTGTAGGCCAACTCAATGCGATCCTGACCGATTGGAAATCGCCAGTTATCGAAAATTTTCAAACACTTTTCAAGTTCGCAAGTGGATGAGTATTATTCTTTTTCACTATACGTCACAGCGGCCATCTTGTAMGACCTTCAAAATGATTTCTCGTTAGTATCTAGTGTCCATTCCTCCAACTATCTCCCYTCAACATGGCTACCGGTCTTTTGAATCTCATGTGAATGATTGAAAATGATTAATTGAAAGCATAATCCGCAAATAAATTCATATCGAAATTTAAGAGACTTTGTAGATTCAATTCAACACACCCTTCAAAGTCAAATCTTCTCTTCGAAGGTACTATGTATAAGAATGCTATTATATAAATACAAAAAATGCGACATCTCGGACTGGTAATAATTAATTGTGCAGACTTTTAAAAAAGTCACTCTCAAGTCCTTTTTGTCGTACTTAAAACAAGTAAAAGCCTCTAGAGACTTATAGTTCTGACTTAAGATATAGAATTAATTCATACTTTGGAGATCTCAGAATTTTCAACATGAGTTATTTGGATGTTCCCTATGCTTTATTTTCTTAAGTTTTCATGTTTTTTAAGAGACTGATCTTCTTGTTCTAGATGGAAAAATGAGTCTAACAATATCAGATGAGATATCCAGCCAACAACTAATACCTGGTCAGATTACTTATAAATGTGAAGCGAACGCACTCCTGAAGCCAATGGAATGGTATGTTTTTATAAGTAATAACATGGAACGAGGGAAATTTGTGATTATATAAATTTCCCCGAAACCGAGGGAAAATTTTCCCGAGGTATCATACACTTGTTTTGTAGTTCCTTAGGTACCAAAGATAATATTTATATCGCGGAATTCGTATACAACGCTCAAACAACATGGCTTAGATATTTTCGTTTAGAACAGACCACGAAGTTCAATAAATTAAGATTGATTGTATTAACGCTATTTCTTTCGATGCTTCATTTCGAGTTGGCAAAAATATTAGTGCAATGTTGTGCTAAAAATAATTTTAAAAAAGTGATTTTTATAATATTTTTTATGTGACTGCGCATAAATCTGTCATAGGCATTTTGGTTTTTTAACTAAGTGCACAGGCATGCGCGCAGTTAGGTTAAAAATTACTAAATTTCCCTCTATTTAATTTATGAACGGGAAATTTAGTATTGTCTGCATAATACAACAATAGGCCTTTCCTWKATACGACTGAGATAACCAAATAGTTTGAAGATGGTTTATGAASTGYTARAKKTGATRAGTCAATCTGTTCGGACAGAGTCAATAAGCATGCTTCTATGCAGGAGAGATACGACAAATTAACTGTACGCATGTAACCGCGTCGTTTTTTAGGGCATTTGAGGGCAAATTGGTCAAGATGGCTGACAACGAACATCAAACAGATTTATCAGATCAACAATACAACAAGATATACACCACAAAAAGCAAAAACTATTCTACATGTCAAGAGTTATTCAAAGATTTCGATTGTCCTGGTCTCACGAATGTAACACGAACATGTACAGCAAAGAATGCTCTACCTGCCTGTATTGCACCTGAGGGACGATACAACCTTTGGAAATATGCTTCTTTATCATCCATGACATTCGATATCGGTAAGGATCATTTTCTGTACAAATTATTTATTCTATCTGGTAGATATTTAGCTCTTGAGAAATGGCGTTCATGTCGCAGGAGCCGATTGATCATGGCGTTGGTCTTGAAACCCGATCGTCTGGGTTCGAGTTCTGCCATAACCACCAGCTAAGATTGTATCAATTCGGATTTCGATTTGATCTCCCAGTCGTGCTTATAAATAGCCACAAGCTTTGTTTCTCTGACATCTGGGATTTTTACGATATTGCTTGTGGAGAGTAACCTTAATTAAAGAACCCACCTATAGAGAGACGGTTGAAAATGTAAAAAGATGATTAACCATTTTGAGAGTGACTTTGATGCTCGAAGAAAATTAAACACACTTTCACAAAGTTCATGTCAGTTCGCCTTCCTTTAACTTTTTAAATTTTTGCCTTCTCACTTAAAATCAATTTATACAAAAAAATCCAAAAAGAATCAGACTTGTGGCAAGTCCACTAAAGATTCATGCAAAGCCAGTTGAGGGATATGCTTCTAAAGTTAAAAAGATCGATGTGTTGATAATCGTTTTATGTTGATTGATCAGAACCACCAAGTGTCATCATTACCACGAAAAAGAACGTTAGAAAAACTCTTGAATTTGAAATCAATGAAAATTATGGAAAGACTCAAGCCAAGATCGACGATTACCACGTCATTCTCACCAATACCAACACAAGCATCATTCACTTCAATAAAACTGTTAATACCAAATCACTGGTCTTCACCAACCTGACGGCATTGAATAGATACAAGCTTGAAGTAACTTCCAGGAGTTGTTTTGGTGAAAATACATCGACTTTGTATGAAATTAATGCAGGTAAACTTGAAAATCACTATCTAAATATACTAGCAGAATATGTCCAGCGTCGCTATTTACTAGAATAAGAGAATGACGTCCTTCAAACCTTTTTTTCAGTCAGCTAGAACAATCCTCTCATACAAGAAGTAGTTTTCGGGAAATAAAAGTTTATGTTTTCTTGAATTTTCTCTACAAAAACCAATTAGCTTCTTTAATGATTACAAATGAGAATAAACAGCATTTTTATAGCGGGAATAAAATAATATCCCATCGTGCTTTGTTCCAGAAAATGACGTCACTTACACGACGTTGAACTGCAGGATGTGATTATCGTTCAACGTTTCATGGTCGTTGTAATGAATCTGAGTTTTCATTTGTTTATTGGGATTCAACTTCTGATAGTCCTATGCCTTCTCTTCCTCTTTCTCTCACACTTTTGGGTATGTTTAGAATTACGTCTTATTAACCGAGCGCGAGGTCTGTACGGGAGAATCTTGACTGAGGTTGGGAACTACATTTGCTAGCGCCGAGACTCCTAGTTACACGGTCATGTAATAATTATTCTTATTAACATATGTCATGTGATACAATTTCAGATTATATTAAACTATTTTGGGAGAAAACAAGTGTTACTGTTGTAGAAAGTGATCAATTTGCGACGTTGGTTGTAAATTCAAGTACTGGAAATACTGTAGAAACTGTGAACTGCAAGTAAGCCAGTTAATATGTGTTTTTAATCTAACTAGACGATCATGGATCGCTTACGTGGGCTTCCTGTGACAATGGTGTTTCATTTTCACAATATAGTCTTTGTTTGTAATAAGTCAAGACAGAATTAAGTTAATATGTTATCAATTTATTACATCATAATTTTTTACCGAACTGAACTCTAAGTAAATTGGATACCATGTCTTTCTCAGTTTTCCAAAATAACTAGCTCGACTTTACGCTCAAGAGCGTCTATATTATTCGAAATATCTGATAGGTCATATAGGTCACATAAACAATAGAAACGGTACAGTCTTGGCAGTATAACTTTGAATAATATTTTGATCATTTTAATCATGTATCTGTATCTTGTGTTTCTGTTCTTTTTTATTTTGTGTTTATCATTAATTTGTAAATCTGGCGTTCTGTGCCATCATAAAGATGTACCTTAGCCTTCTAATGACAGTTCATATTTTTGGATTTGTCTAAGTTTTTCAAGTTAAACAATCATCAAAACAAACAATAGAGAATTAAAATGCTTCATACACAATATATATTTTGTATACAGAGTTCAGTAAAGCTCACACGTGCAGTTTTCCGAACTTCAAACACATCGTTAGTTTAGAAAATGGCATCAATATTTTTCAGATGAG